TATTCTTGTTAGTCTAATAATTTATAAATGGATCAGGAATAGGTAAAATTTCATTTAATTTCCTTTTGAATGTAAAATATCTTTTTCATTTGCAACATTTAACATTCTTTAACGAGATGCTGTACATATTGCTCTTCTTGGGTTTGAGTAAACTCTCCTTAATGAGTTTCTGTATTTTTTGTCGTAATTTCTTATTTGCTTTGTATAATCTTTGACGTTCAGCACTAGTTCGTGGTTGATGAAAGCTACTTTGAGTTGATCTATTACTTAATGCTCCTTTTTTAGCACGAAATCGTTTTTGGCGTTCAGCATTACTTAATACTTTTCGCATTATAGCATGTTTTTGTGACTGCTCTTGTGTATGTTGCTCATGAACGTCTGCTACAACTTGTATCTGAATAGGACTAAAAAATCAATTAATTTTGGTGATTGAAAGACGTTCTATCTGTTTAAAATAGACGGTAAAGCGAGGAAGAGCTATAGAGACAGGATACACTTGACACACTATATGTATACATAATGTAAGCCAGCGCGCGAATGTTAAAAAAAACTGAACTAATCCAAGGCTAAAAAAATTAAACTAAATTGAGAAGATTTAATCATAAAGGAATCAAAAGGGTATATGAAGGAAAAATCCATTTTGGTGCGTGGTAAACACAATTAATCATAGAAATAATATAGAGAATTAAAAATAAGCCCTAATAAATTCGTTTTACATATTTTGCAACTATAAGCTGAAGGGAGATTCGTATCGTCTTAACATCAAGAATACGTTGCGGGATAGAAAATAACAAGACGGAACCCATATTTTCTGAAATAACCGAGGTAAACCCAAATATTTGTTCAATTAGATTCAAAACATATTTATTATATATTATTACAAAACAGTAATAATGTTTAACATTTTATGTTAAATATGAAAGATTACAAAATAGGTATCTAAATATTGATAATTTGTTGTTACAAAATAAAATAACAGATAATAGAACATATTATTGCATTAAAAGTTATTAATAATAGTTGTGACACTTTATTTGCACTTAATTTTGAGCATTTTTCATAAATTGACCCTGCCTTCTTTAGAAAATATCCGCTCAACATCTGGTTTAACAATTGTCTCCGATGAAAATCACTAAGGTCGTTTGAAGATTTTCAAAAGTTTGTAATACATTTTTCTGCAAATTGATGGACGATCCGCATTTTTTTGCACTTAAACTGCTTTAGTGCGTATAATTGTGTGTATACTTTAATTGGAAATTTAAATGAAGGCAAAACGCGAACAGGCATTTAGTACATGAGCACCCTTTACCTAGTATTTGCAGTATCTGCAGCTTCTCCTTTGATAATTTGTTGA